GTTTTACTATTTTTACAAAATGTATTTCCTATATAGACTTCCAGGTATTTACATATTTTCTTTAAGCTTTTTCAGTACACACCATCTTATTTAATCCTTGCAATCACCCTGTAAACTGAAAATTTTATCTTGTGGCTAAGAGAGGTTAAGGAACTAGCCAAAGGTCATAAATCTAGTGCAGGGTTGGAATCTGGACATCCTGACCTTCAATGGCTAGCAGAGCACCCTATGTTTTTGTTGTTTGGAGACAGGCTCTTATTCTGTCACCCAGGCTGCAATGCAATGGCACGATCTGGGCTCACTGCAGCCTCAACCTCCTGGGCTCAGGTGATCCTCCCACATTAGCCTCCCAAGTAGCTGGGACTGCAGGTGTGTGATCACGCCCGACTAATTTTTGTATTTTTTTCTTAGAGACAGGGTTTCACCATGTTGCCCAGGCTGGTCTCGAACTGCTGGATTCAAGTGATCCACTGGTCTTGGCCTCCGAAAGTGCTGGAATTACAGGTGTGAGCCACCACACCCAGCCCACCCCTTGCTTTGATACTGAATAGATTCAGTAGCTTTTCTATGGACAAAAAATTCTACTCCCTCAAAAGAAAATGATCCATTGACATTAGCCTCCGTAAGACCCAGGTGTGGTTCTTAATCTTCTTTCCCACTTGATCACTAATTTCCACGGCTGTCTGGGCACTGATGTAAGTAACTACACAGAGTGGTTGCTCATTTCTCACAGCAATGTGTGGAGGTGATGTGTTTGTTCTTATTCATTTGTTCATTCATTCATTTTTTTTCTCCAACAGCCCTAGGAAGAAGAACCACTATAGTGTTAACTGTAATGGGCAGAATGGCCCTTGAGTCACCCTTCCTGTGGCCTAACACTTGGGCAGTGTCACTTAAGAGGCCCCTCATATCTACTCAGGGGGTGATTAAAGAACATTCTAAATTACCTGGTAATTTGGGGGTGTAAATACATGAAAGCATGTTTAAAATTCTAATTTGTATGTTTTTGGTGGGCTTTGTGTCATTTCTTTTTTTTGGGTGACGAAGTTTTGTTCTTGTCACCCAGGCTGAAGTGCAATGGCATGATCGGGGCTCACTGCAACCTCTAACTCTTGGGTTCAAGCAATTCTTCTGACTCAGCCTCCCCTGTAGCTGGAATTACAGATGCAGCCACCATGTCCGGCTAATTTTTGTATTTGTAGTAGAGATGGGGTTTCGCCATGTTTGTTAGGTTGGTCTCGAACTCCTGATGTCAGGTGATCCACCCGCCTTGGCCTCCCAAAGTGCTGGGATTACAGGTGTGAGCCACCATTCCCAGCCGACTTTGTGTTATTTCTGTGTGTGTATGTGGGCTTACAGAACTCATGTATGCTCACTGTGAAATATTTCAACACTGCAGATGTATGTGAGGTAGAGAGTGGGAATCCTCAATGATGAGAAACCACCACCCATCCCCCAAACTGGAGGCCACTGCTAATCCTTTCATTCTATGCATAAGACAACACTGTGTGTACTGTAATTTTACAGATGATGTCAATGTAAAATAGCATGAATCTGGCTCTGGATCTCAACTTTTTTCTATGCATAATTAAGTGTATTTAAAATGATTTAAAATAAATTATGAGTCATACCTCAGCCTTAACCAGTGAGATGAAATGTGATGTGTCAAAATTGAGTTAAATCCATATTCTCCGTGGATGTGCTTTTGACTTGCACATAAGGAAAAGCAGGCAGGCAAAAGTGAGGCAGTTTCACACACTGTATTGACATTCAACAACGAGAAGGTCAGAGTAGGGAGTTGATGTCAATATGTTCATCCCGTACTGCAATAAAGCTGTCCCGGCAACTGCAATCCCAGCTGCCATTTTCCCTCCTTTGGGTGAGAAATGAGCCATTCAGACCCTCAGCTCTTTAGCTATGAAAACACCATGCTTTAAGAAAGATTTGGTTTTCAATATCAATATAATCTAGGTTTCAGGTTTGGAAGATGAAATTTCCACACCAGATACGGCTTTATTTGACAAAAAACAGTAAGAGATGACAGCTGAGATTTCTGCCACATGAAAATTACCGAATAATTGCATGGCAGGTGTCATCATTCTGAATATCATAAAGTGAGTTTAGCACTCCATTTTGCTTTCCAGTATTTTGCTGGGGATGCTTTTCTTAGGGTTATCACTAGCAGTTTTAAATGTTGGGAAAAATGTAAAAACACAGTAAACATAAACAACAATGGAAAAGGTAACACTTCACGATAACATTGCCCTATGTATGTTCCATTTTCTCTCAGGGAAACTACCCTAGAATGGGCAGAATCCTTCCAAAACAGGAGCCCGCCATGACCTCAACTCCTACAGGCCGACATGTTTTAATTCTGCCAGACCCACTAAGTGTCAATTTTTTAAAAGTCGGGTTTGGAAAAAATGAGAGAATTTAAAAAATTAACAACTATTTCACAGTTGGTTCCTATCTCTCCTCAGTATTACCCAATTTATATTTTATGTTGGATTTCCATTCATTCCCCAAGCGCTTTCACAGAGCGGCCTGCCAGAGGCCGTTAGCACACACCCTTCACAAATGGAGAAGCAGCGGTATTCAGATTCACCAGGAGCTGGACTGGCATTTGCACTCACTCAGTTCACTTGGTGGCTGGCAAGCTTCTCTGCACTCTGAGTCGTGGTCACTTCCCTTCAGAATAGAATGTGGGGAACGACCTGAAGGGATTGTGATAAAAAAAGATTGTCTTTGATGTTGGGTGGGATATGCAAATCTGAATGAGAATAGGGTGCCTCAGTACTGTCAGAGTGTGCTGTGTTTTATTTGGGAAATGAGACAAAATCTTCCCATGATCAGCCATTCCATGTGACATCCCAACCCACACTCCGCTACTGACATTTTATCTCCCACTGAACAGCCCGGCTGTTGTAACATTTTCAGGATTCTTAATTTATGTCTTGCAGGATCTAAAATCAGATGGCAGGAACTTTAAGAAAATAACCAGTGTTGACAGGCACCTTATAAAAGAAGCTGGTACACCTTAGTGCTGCTAAAAGTTCGAGAATATTCTTTAGTTTCTTCTTCCAAAATATGTCCAGAAGTCAGTGGGATGGAGACAGTAGCTGTCTGAAATCATTTAATTTCTCTTTTCAATCTAAACTCTACAAAAGACTTTTCTTTCACTCAGTATTTGCTAGCACCTGGGACTCAAGAAGGCTAATATCAATGGATCATTTTCTTTTGAGGTAGTCAAACTTTTTGTCTGTAGAAAAATCTTCCTGAATCTATTCAGTATCAAAACATGGGATGGGCCTGGCATGGTGGCTCACGCCTGTAATCCCAGCACTTTGGGAGTCTGAGTTCGGCAGATCACTTGAGCCCAGAGAGTTTGAGACCAGCCTGGGAAACATGGTGAAACCCCAGCTCTACTAAAATACAAAAAATTAGCCAGGCATGGTGGCACGCACCTGTGGTTCCAGCTACCCTGGAGACTGAGGTAGGAGAATCACCTGAGCCTGGGAAGTCAAAGCTGCAATGAGCCGAGATCACAACCCTGCACTCCAGCCTGGATGACAGCGTGAGACCCTCTTTCAAAATAAAAATAAATAAATAAATAAATAAATAGGAAATCACTAGTCCCAAACCACTTATCCTTGGAGAAATAAGGACATAAACCCAAATCGCATGTTCTTTCCATTATATCACAATGCTGCTTTGTAAAAGTGGCAACTTTGGGCTGGCTTACATGAATCCGCTGAAACCTTTAAAACGTATTGGCAGTGCTGCATACTTGGGGCTCTTGAACTTAGGCCTGCAACCAGGATGCTGGTGTACACCCTCACCTGGAGTGCTCAGCTTTGATCCTCCTTTTTTCAGAATGGCTTCATATCTATTTGTAGCATAGTGCTTAACAGTAGGAAGTCTTGAGCCAAATGCCTAGCTTTGCCACTTAACCCTGACCTGAGCAAGTTACTTAGCTTCTTCAGGAGTCATTTTCCTGTATTGTAAATGGAGATGAGAATAGCACTTACCTTATAGGATTGTTGTGAAGATTAAATGAATTTGGGAAAATACTCTATATAGGTCTGTTAGTATCATCCATTAATTTGCAACATGATTTCATAAATGCATCTAGAATATGCCTGTGTAAACCTATGGTTAGATGATGAAGCTAAGAAAAGCCCTGGTCCATCCCTGGAGAGTAAGAAACTAGTATACTCCTTTTACAAGGTACCTTGCACACAGCACAGACTTAACAGACATATTTAAATTGAACTGAGGCGAACGCTACTAGAACTAAAAGCGGTAGTTCCAGATCTTTCAGGCTCAAGGTCCAGATTTTACAAGTGTTTCTGATCACCCTCCCCCTACCTCATTTATCGCAAAGAGCGGAGGCCAGGAAAAGGATGAATAACCAATGACCTTAAAACCCAGGTGAGAGTAAAAACCAGTTCTGATAAACTGTGTGACATTTACATCCTGGTACCTGAGCTTTAGGTCACTCTGCATGTGTAATTCCTCTGCACAAAGCCCAGGAGGCTACTTTTATATTATTGGGGCAAATCTCCCAACAGCCCTCGGTACTAAACAGCCTTCAGCAGGTGCTTCCAAATTTTCTTGTTTGCTTCAACTCCCAGGTTGCCAGGGGAAGCTTGGCGACAGGTCTATACTCCTGGGCAGACTGAGTAACAGCAGGATACTTCAAGAGGTGCTCTAGGTCGGAAGGAAATAAATGAGACTACGATCAAGTAAAGTTTGGTAAAGGAAGAGACGCCTTCACCCCGACGACCAGGCGGTGGCTTCGCAGCACAGACTCTCTCGGCTGGTGGAGTTCCCACCCGGCCTCGATATAGTCCCGCCCCTACCCAGACCACGCCCACCAATCACCGCCCTCTCCCTCCCAGGCCCCGCCTAGAGCCGGCCCCTTTTAGAGCCTGCCCCTCACCTGACTCCGACACTGCCGGGATTAGTCCGCCGGGCTTAGTGCGCGAGGCGCTTGCGCATTTCTTGAGTTGTCGTGGCACTGCCCAAATCTAAATGGGGTAAAGAGGGAACTTCATATTTCCTACAGACACAGCGGCTTTTCGTGCTCTCTTAGAGCTAGTTTTGCCTTTCGTGATCCTGAGAACCCTGGCTTTTGGTTCCCCAATGCGGCTTAAGAGAGCAGGTTTTAAGTTAGGCGATCTTCGGGCAGCCCTAGTCCCGGCACCGGGTCCTTGCGCTGACTCTTGGGACCACAGCCTGGGAGGCGGGGTCCTTCTCTGGGGCGGTCGCGTTGGCAGCGCATGCAGGAAGCCGGACTCTGGGCGTCATGTACTACAAATTTAGTGGCTTCACGCAGAAGTTGGCGGGAGCGTGGGCTTCGGAGGCCTATAGCCCGCAGGTACGAGTGGCGCCTAGCCAGCTCGGACATGAGAAGTGGCAGCCCGAGCCTCGGCGACAAGCAGTCGCGGCGTTGGAGCCAGGAGAGGCTTCTGCCCGCTGTCGAGTTCGTTTCTGTTCTCCTTGCACCTTCCGGGGCCTCTCCACACCAGCATACGGTGGTCACTGAGGCTTCTCTTTGTGTACCTGCTCACCTGGTGGGGCTGGCCTGGCGTGGAAGTTTGGTCTGGCACACTGCAGGGGTCAAGGTGACCCCTGGGGTCACTTGTCTAAAAGGGATGGTTTGGGGGAGTCCCCAGTGTGACCCGAGTCAGAGGTTCGGCCTTCTCCCTCTCTTTGAAGACATCTGGCTTTCGGCCTCCCTGTCGTTTCTTTGTCGCCTCCTGCCACAGCCCCATAGGCAGCCTAACTTGAGCACGAGATTAGAGAGCGGGGATAAAGGCTTTTAGGGAAACCGTGGGGCAGGGGGTTGGGGGGCTGTGATCTGGATTAGGAGATTTAACAGGTTACTTAACACGTTCAGCGAGGGAAGTTGCATGCAGCGAGGTTACACTTTCCCGATTGTAAAATGTTTGACAGATGCTCATTGTTTGGGTAGTCTGAAAAGTATTCCATTTCACGCAGGTTCTGCCAATTGGAGTTTGAGTCTCCATGTGTTGTGGGTAAACGAGGGATTTTAGAGCCCCAGACGTGCCTTTTCAAATCATGGCGTTTTTCGCTTAAATTGTGTGACCTTGGCCAAGTTACTTAATTTATTGTGAACTCAGCTTCATCCAGGGCGGCGTTAGTACACTTTAAAATGAGGTGTGTCAAGTGACCAACAGTTTGGGCAGGTGGTTGGTTCTGACTAAGTGTGAACCGTTCATCAGAAGCTGTCTGAGACAGTATATTCCCTCCTCATCCTCCTAGAGAAGTGTGGGAAGGGTCGGTGAGATACGCAGTTAGACTGCAGTAGTAAGGGACCCAGGTGGGGTGTAAAGGATACTCCTTTACTGCTGCTTCATTCTCCTTTTTCTGTGGGACACTACAACTTGCCCCAAGAGGCAGATGTTTAAGAAAGATGTCAGACCTGGTACTATAGCTCACGCCTGTAAATCACAGCACTTTGGGAGGCTGAGACGGCAGGGTCGCTTGAGCCCAGGAGTTTGAGATCACCTGGGGCAACATAGTGAGACCCTGTCTTTAAAAACAAAAACTAAAAAGCAGAATGATTCTAATCTAGGATAGGAAGGGCAAGTTGTTGTTGTTGTTGTTGTTGTTTTGCGGGAGTTAATGGGGGAGTTGCAGTGGGAACGGAAAGGAAGAGTTTAGGGTTTATAAATGTTGAGCTTGTGATATGTCATGCTTGGTAGCAGCTAGATTTTTGAATATGGAGTTTAATAAAGTTAGATGTCTTTAGCCCATAGGTGGTAGAATCTGGTGGGTAAATTACCCAGGAAGTTTGTAGGGAAGAAAGGTTGGATCATAGTTAAGAGTACAGAAGCATGAAGGGAGGGTGGAGAAGGAAAATGTATTTAAAGAATAGACCGGGTGAGAAGGGAAACCAGTGTGGTGTCACCGAAATCAAATTGGTAATGACTTGTAAGGAAGGAACAGTCAGCAGTGTTACACTTCTTTTACAGATTATGTGGGGAAATGACCATTTCTATCATCTGCTCCTATAAAGCGTATTCTTCAGTGTATGGATCTTAAATGTTACAGTTTGATGAGTTTGGACAAACCCACGCGCTGTATAACCACACCTCCCTCAATATACAGAATGTTACATCATCCCAGGAAGTTCCCTTTTACCCTCTGTCAATCCCTGCCACCTTCCTATTCTGACTTTTATCATCATAAATAGATAGTTTTCCCTTTTTTTGGACTTCATGTAAATGGAAGCAGCTCTCACCCAGGCTGGAGTGTAATGGCACAGTCATAGTTCACTGTAGACTTTCATTCCTGGGCTCAAGTAATAGTCCTCCTTTCGCCTCTGAAAATGCTGGGATTACAGATGTGAGCCACCATGTCTGGCTGCTAGCCTATTTAAATATTTTTGAGGTTAGTCCCTGTTGTACGTATCAGTAGTTAATCCTTTTATCCTCTTATTCTTCTGTAGGGTTTCATTTTATAAATATATCACAGTTTATTCTGTTGGTGGTAGTAGATGTTCTTTTATTTTTTAAAAATATTTTTTGAGGCAGGCTCTTGCTGTGTTGCACAGTCTGATCTTGAACTTCTTGGGCTCAGGCAGTCCTCTCACCTCAGCCCCCTGAGTGACTGGGGTTACAGATGTGTACCACCACACCTGGTTTATGTTCTTTTAATATATCTTTAGCCTAATCTAGGTTTTGTTGCTTAGTAAGAAAAAAGTAAATTTTTTGACTAAAAACTGGCGTATTGTAATAAAATGGGCACTCAGCAGAGATGACCTTGAGATGAGTTTGATATAGATAGGGCTTTCAGATTTCTAGTACCTCTCCTCGTGAATCGTGTTTCTCTTGAGAATTTGAACTTCTTTAGTTACTTAAAGATGCCTCAAACTATGTTGAAAAGAAGTGATATTGTGTAGGCTTTATATGAATTGTAAATTTCTGAGTGATTGTGACAGGTGCCCTCCCAACTAGGTGCTCTGAGTTTGGTAATTAGGAGTATTTCAGCTTTTTCCTTTCCTGGAAATATATAATGAAGATGTTTGTAACTTTTAGTAGTAAGTAAAGTGAATAATTTACCATGCATTAAATAACATAACATGGAAAAGGTGGTTCAGTAACAGTTGCACAGATAGAGATTTGTAAGTCAGCTTGACAGCGAGTGGTTGGTGGGATAGCGTTTTCCGTTGGTTGAAAAGCGTCTTCCTTATCTTTCTCTGAACTGCGTCAACAATAAATTGAGACCAATAAGCACATGAACATGTTTAACATCTTTAGTTATTAGAGAAGAGCAAATCACAACCACAGTGAGATACCATTTAATATCCACCAGAATGCCTAGAATCAAAAAGACAGACGATAACAACTATTGGTGAGGATGTAGAGAAACGAAACCTATTACATTTGTGGTGGGATGGTGGGAATGGTAAAATGACGCAGCCACTTTGGAAAACAGTTTGGCAGTTTGTTAAAAAGGAAATATAATTTTACTATGTGATCTAGGAATTCCTCTCCCAGTTAAGATGGCAGAATGGTATTCTAGATAAAGGGAACTGTGAGAGTAACGGAAGGGAGGGGGTGTGGAGGAGAAGTGTTGAGTAGGTAAGTTTGACTGTGGAGGATGGAGGTAAATCATGAAGGGCCTAGGATGGTAGGACTTAATTTTGTGAGGCACGAGTAGGAAGTTACAGAGCAACTTGATGCAGAGTTGTGGTAGAGTTTGTCCTTTCAGATGAGACAGATGTTGGGGATGAGGAGGGAGGGCTTCAGGATGATTGGTGAATTGGTGCTTTTCACAGTGACAGGGAGTTCCTGAATGGGCTTATGAGTGAATTTTGGACATGATGAGCGTGCGGTGTCAGAAGGACACGGAGGTAGGTGGTGATGTCTAGCTTACAATTAGAAATAAATAGAGGTCAGGTGTGGTGGCTCACCCTGGTAATCCCAGTGTTTTGGGAGGTGAGGGCAGGAGAATAGCTTGAGGCCAGTCGTTTGAGACCAGCCTCGGCAACACAGTGAGAACCCATTTCTACAAAAAAAATAAGAAAAATTAGCTGGGCATGGTGACACATACTTGTAGTCCTAGCTACTCAGGAGGCTGAGGTGGGAGGATCACTTGAGCCCAGGAGTTTGAGGCTGCAGTGAGCTGTGATCAATGCATTGCACTCCAACCTGGGTGACAGTGTGAGATCCTGTCTATAAACAAAACAAAACAAAAAGCCAAATGAATTGAGTCATTGCAGATTGAAACTGGTTTCCAGTCCTAAATTACAGTGAAAATGTTCATACATTTCTGTCATTTAAAAATTAAAATTATGAGGAGTAATCCTCTTTTCTCTCCACCCTCGTCCCCAAACCTAAGAGGTAGAAGAAAAGGAAAATGTTACAACCAACTTTTAGAGGGAAAATCATTTTTACTTTTCTTTTTTTTTTTTTGAGACGGAGTCTGGCTTTGTGGTCCAGGCTGGAGTGCAGTGGTGCAATCTCAGCTCACTGCAAGCTCTGCCCCCTGGGTTCACACCATTCTCCTGCCTCAACCTCCTCAGTAGCTGGGACTACAGGTGCTCGCCACCACACCTGGCTAATTTTTTGTATTTTTATTAGAGACGAGTTTTCACCGTGTTAGCCAGGATGGTCTTGATCTCCTGACCTTGTGATCTGCCTGCCTTGGCCCCCCAAAGTGCTGGGATTACAGGCGTGAGCCACTGGGCCCGGCATGTTTACTTTTCTCTTTAAAAATTTGGAGCAATTGAAATAAACCAGGAAAAACTCAATTACTAAACGTGGTTAAGGTTGAATGGTTCTTAATTTTGGAGGTGGGCTTATTTAAGCAGCTAAGAGATTCAGTATTGAAAAGTAAAGTATGTGATTTTTCTTGATCTATGGTCCACTTATTTTTAATTTTATTTTGATACAGGGTCTCTGTCGCCCAGGCTGGAGTATAGTGGCATGATCATGGCTCACTACAGCCTCAACCACCTGGGCTCAAGTCATCTTCCCACCTCAGCTTCCTAAGTAGCTGGGACCACAGGTGTGCACCACTGTACCTGGCTAATTTTTTGATATTTTGTAGAAACAAAGTCTCAATATGTTGCCCAGGCTGATCTCAAACTCCTGAGTGAAGTGATTCTCCCACCTCAGCCTCTCAAAGCGGTGGGACCACAGGCATGAGCCATCACACCCGGCCTGTCCACTTATTGTAAGAACAGCTTTCAGTTATTATTGCTGTGGGAATTGTGGATGCCCTGCCATCAAATACCAATTTATCAGACTTTGTTTTTGAGATACTGAAACCTACATTGTGGTGAAGCTATAGCTTTCTTTAGTTTATTTAAACATTCTGCATGTATTTAGTGAATGCGCTTTCTCT